AAAGAACTCTCGAGTGAGTCGCTCGCTGGCTTCGTCTCCGTGGCATCGACCCCACGCTTGAGGCCACCGAAGCATTTACACAGAAAAAAGCAGATTTCTTGATTCAGGCAGAAGAAATGCATAAATAAAAAATGCCAAAATAAACTTTTATTAACTTTGACTCATGAATTCATTAAACATGCAGATTTCCTCCCTGCTTGTTTGACGTTTTTACAGGAAGCTGCTCCACCAGGTCGTCGAAGGTAAGGAAGTATCGCAGGAGGAGAACTTCCTGCCCAAACGCCAACGAGTCAAAGACCTCTGTCAGAGAGCCGAGTACCAGACGCCCTGCCAGCAGACGGGACAGGTACAGTAAGACTTTACTCCTGATTCATTTACTCCTCGACTCCCGATCCTACTCCTCCCAAAGGCATCACGTTCCTTCTCCATCCTTGCACAACAATAGTCAGATTTTTTTATAATCTCCTGAATCCAATGACTTCACTCCTGATGTTATTATTCTACTTTTGATCGAGCTGCTTATTCCTCAATGTATAATCTTGTTCCTCTCTTTTACTCTGGAATACCTTATTTTTCCTGATTCTACTCAGTCATGAGTTTCTCTGAGTTTGCATCCAATGACTCCTGATCTCATTACGTGATTGCATTACCTTACCTCCAGTCTTAACTTTCCTCCAGAATACGTTCCTAATTTTCACTTCTCTCCAGAAACCTTATTTCACTCCATTCACCAAATTAATCAAATTCACTCATAAAATGATCAGTTTTCCTATAAATTTGGCTCCATTGAACTCACTTGACTCCTCATATCATTTCTGTACTTTTGATCCCATTAATTCTGATTGCAGTACTTTATTCCAACCCTTTGCTCCACACACACTTTAGATCAGAGGCAGGTTTGGAGCGTTCCCTTTCCTTGTTTTTTCTCTAAACTTCCTTCTGGTAACCCATTCCTGGTCCCATTATCACTCTTTTAAATGACTCTTATCCTTTTCCTGACTCCAGAATCCTATTCTGTGCTCCGTTCCGCTCCCAATCCCATTAAATCGTTCTTTCAAACCTTATTATTTTCCCAATATCCTCACATCCCATTTCTAACTTCTGACTCTGAGACTTTATTCCTGATTCTACTCGTTTTTATTATTATTTCATTCACATCACATTATCACATTCACTCCATTCCTCAGTCATAATCCAGTAAATGTTTCTCTTTGCTGGATTGCTTTATTCAACATCTCGTTGCTTTGTTCTGCACACTCCTATTTCACTCCAGAATAATGTTCTGCTGGGTCTCTCCTGATCCTGTTGTTGTTTACAGCACACCTCACCACTTTACTTTAGTCTTCATCTCATTATTTGAGTCGTGACTTCATCGTTTCGTTCCTCACTCGGGACGCTACGTTTCTCGATCCAGTCATTTCTTCCTGATCCCGTCATTTTGTTCACAACTGAACTGATTTACTCTTCATCCCTGTTTAATCCTCGTCTAATCACTTCATCCAGATGCTATTTACTCTCAACTCCATAACTTCCAGAAATCCAAACCCCATATGTTTAATTTCTCTGTACTCCTAACTGCTCCTCCGCTGCCAGTCTCATCGTGTTACTTCTACGATCCTGTCGTCACTCCTGATCCTGTGGCTTCAATCACAGTCTCATTGCTCATTATTCCTGCTTCGCTTTGACAGAACATGCAGACTATAAAGTTTGCACTCTTCCCGATGCAGTTTTTCTTTGGTCTGTGCAGTCCTCAGTAACAAGCTGTTTTTGGAATAAAGACGGGAAAGCTGGGATGGCTACCGCTCCAATAAACAGAGACTTGAAAGAAGCCGGGTAGACTTGTGTCGCAGAGATGAAAAACCAGATGTCATCTCTGTAAACCCGACACACACAATAACTGCAGTAACGACTGGAACGACCAGAACACAATGGACTCGCCGAATGCCGCAGCATCAAAGAGACGTGGAGAGAATCGAGATGCGACAGCACAACAGAAACTTTTCTGCCAGACATTCAGAGCTGTGTCACTGTGTGTTTGTGTTCACGCTTGTTGGAGGTTAATTACACTTGTCGAAAAATCCCTTTAGCAAGTTGATTAGTCTCTTAGCAACAGAGTCTGCCGGCTGCTGGGTTGCTGTGATAAACAGCCCCAAGAAAACTGCATACATGTGTGTGTACTTAATAATTCAGGCATTTGTCGCTCTTTAATAAGCGTGAGTGACTCAGGGCAACAGTCGCAATTCATCCGGGTCACGCTAATCTTCTAATGAACAACTACAGTCACGATGCAGCCGATGCTGAAAGCAAAAGAAGACTGAATGTATCGTACATGTTTACGAGGCTCGCCTTTCCTACCTCACCCTCCTTCACTCAAAGCTCGGCAGGTTTGTTACGTGCTGATCAAAGCAAATCCACGTGAACGTTTCGAACCCTCACAAGTCACGAAGCTCTCTTCTCTCAGCGTGCAAACACCTGTCCAAGGTTCTCGTTTTCAGAGGCTCTCTGCCTCGTCTTTACCTCCTTTAGTAAAGTGACTTTTTTCATAGCTTCTATCAGGATCCTGCAGGAGCGATCGGAGAAAATGGAAGCTTTGTTCTTTTGTTCTTTTTGGTTCCACAACAGCTTTCGAGGATCTTGTAACCGGTGGCAGAGAGCAGTTAAGAAGCCAGTGTGATTTGTCCTAGAAACATTGTGTAATCAGCGTTTACCTGATGTGTAAAAGGAACCCACTCATGTTTCAAACCTACGAACGCCACTCAGTGCAGTTCTGGCGTGTTGAAGCTCGGGTGTCCCTGGTTGCTGCCCCTGGAGTATCGCCGTAATCAGCGGTTTAAATCACGTGCATGTCACCTTATTTAATATAAGATTAGGATAATCAGCCAATCATCACTGATTGTTGCTGGGAGTTAACGGCCCAACCGCAGAAGTATTTCAGGGTCTTTTTCAGTCACATGGACAGGATGGCGTACGAGGCCTTGTGCAGTAATGAGTATAAGGTGTGTTATGCCAGACTCAACAAAGAACTCTGCTGTCGGGCAAAGCGTCTGATTTATCTGCTGGTTTTGATATTCAGGCTGTGAGTCAAAGAGCTGAAATGAGCCTCTGCTTGGAGACTTCGTTCTCCCTACAGACTGAGGAGCTCTGAGCTGCTGCACGTAAGCGTCTGGAGATTTTGCTGTTTCACGTCGGCTGTTCATGGCCCGATGTGTGTGAGGATCTTTAGCCCCAATCCAAAATTTCATCGACCTGAACAAATCAAAGCCTGACATCCAAGACCAGCAGCAGTCAGATGCCTCCCTCGCTCAGTGTGATTACGGCGCTACACCGAACCCAGTGGACCAAACAAGAGCTTTTGTTAAGCGTGCGCGTTGTTGTAAATTAATTCTGAGGTAAACAAATATTTTTCTGTTTAATTTTGTGATTCGTGAACTTTATTGTTGCATCTTTTGTAAGTTGTTGTATATGTGACATCACATCCTGCCTGAAGATAATCCTTATATGATCATCAGGATGCCATTTCCCTTTTAACTTCCAGCTTTCAATATTCGCGTTAAAGTATTTATTTATATTTTATTTATGGAGCTTTTGTATGCTAACATTTGATGTTGGGGAAACTAAACCGGCTCCTCTGAACTGTTAAAAAAATTTCCTTGCGCTCGATTTTGTGTGTGCAGAAGTGGCAGTGTGTGGAGGACGCCACGGGGAAGCTACGCCTCTTCAAATGTAAGAATGAAGGAGGGGCCATGAGCTTCCAGAGGGGTGTGATTGGCCGTCAGCGTCCAATCAGCATCAAGTCTCAACTGTACCTTCCGAATTCTGGTGCCTGCGACTGCGATTTCCGTGACCTGCGACCTCTGAACCTTCGACCCTCCATGATGAAGCCGTTCAACAAGAAGCCTTTCTTCTCCAAAAAGAGTGAGTGTTAACACTTCAGTCCACCAGGGGGCAGCAGTGATTATTAGCGCCACGTGTGAGCAGTTTAGCAGCTTTTCTGGAATTCTCTGATTCCTTTATTAAGTTTCATCCATAATCATGTTCACGTTTTGGCTGCTGCCATATTGTTTTTTGGATCAGATCACGACGCTAGAATGAGGTTTTTAGCTAAAATAAGCAAAAATCACAAAACTGAAGCAGAAACTTCTTTGAATGGTTTGAATTTTAAACCCAAGTTGTATCCAAGTGGATTGTTTATAAAAAAAACAACCTGTCCTCAGTTTGGACCACAAACTGTCCATGGTGGTCCAAACCTTTTTGTTCCCGTCTGTAAACAAGTTTTTTTAATGCTGTAAATTTGCTCATTTTAAATGGGAGTCTGTAGTAGGGCTGCCACGATTAGTCGACTAGTCACGATTACGTCGACTATCAAAATCGTCGACGACTAATTTAATAGTCGACGC